AGGTGCTTTCCTATTAGTCTTCCTACCAATATGACCAAGTTGCGAAAACAAGGTCAAACAATTTCTATAGGTTACTTTGCCTATTAACTAGATATGCCGAGAAATTGAGTTTTAAATAATCTCTATTAATTTTTGTTTATGTATCTTTTATCTGTTTAAAAAGGTGGATGAGACTATTGAAGTCTCTTCACTATTTACCAAACGAGTATTTAACCTCGACGTACCGTCTTGCAAATTATCCGTGCTTAGCTTTTTTATTTTTTATTACAGGCATCTCTAGAGCGTAAAAGTATTCCTTAGCAAGCTTTACCCACCGCTAAGGCAAAAAAGTTAACTGACTGCAATTCTATATAATTAAGGAAGGGAAGCTTATTTACCAGTGACTTAGCAGTTCGAAATAAATATATATATTTGAAGCTTCGATTTTGCGCATTTTTTACATTTATCATCACTTATTTAATTATGACTTATCAATTTCTGCTTATGCAGGACATCCATTAGATTTTTTTCTTTAAATCGTAGACATGGCTGCCACAATTATCTCATCTTTACTTCGTTCGCTTTTACCTCACTTTCGTAACTGTCCTAATCTCATTTCTACTCTCAAAGAACGTACTCCATAATGCCTCATATGCCTTAGTTATCGTATTATCTTCTTACATTTCACCATTGCCTACTTACATCTTTAGTCATTCTGCTGGCATTGCCATTGTCAAGTACCATTGAGCTAGAATTCGTCAAAATAACAAGGCAATCCTCTACCAATTTCCTTTTCATTCAGCCAACTCTGCATTGCTAGAGGTCCACATGATAACCCCTATAGATGACACAGTACGGGGTATGTTCTTCACAGCTTTTCATGCAAACGGTGGTTGCGAAAACGAAATTAAACCGATTTTTGTTATGGAGTGTTGAATTAAAATATCTATTCTGATTATATTCATTTAATTTAATTTTGCATAATTTGGCATCTATTTCATTAACTTGTTACGATTGTCAGAGTATTTTTTATTTTCCTTTTTAGCCTACGGACACTCGAGCATGGTGCTTGATCGTACCGTAGCCGCATTTGCTAAAATGAGGTCAGAAGATCCTGGTATAACAGGCTTACTGCCTACCACTTTATTGCATGATCTACTAGTGTGTGGCAACTCTATCTCTCTCCTTCGAGCACTGGCTCCTAAGGTCTCTTGGACAGTCACTCATTTATCCACTTAAATTATATATGCTTCTTTATTTTTGCTCCTACTTCATTCCTTTTATGATTATGCCTCTTGTTATATAATATATTTAAACATTCCTATTTTCTTCTTTATTAGCATCAGGTATTGCTCAGCTTTGAAAAGTTTCCTGGGCTTCACTTTCCCGAAAAACATTCTGATATTGATAAAATAAAGCATTTATCGGCCAAATATTTGGAAGAAGTACAGCTAACTATCAGAAAGTCCTATCCGGTTTGGCAAGTCAACTTTCTAGTTTTTTACTATAAACTTGGCTGCCTTCTTATACTCACTTTTTTCATATATTACTGTCAGGTTACAAAATTTATAGATTGGTTCTACAAAAAATGTTTGTGGTTTGATTTGTCAAACTCTATTGTTGCTTTGAAAATTGGTCGGAGCGACATAGAGACCTTGGGGAATGTACCTAGTTCTTCATCCTATGCCATAGTATTCATGATAGCTTCCATTATCGGGCCGGCGACTCAGTATATTCTCAGCCATTTCGCTTAATTTCTTAGTCAGAAGCGCCATCCTTTTCAAATAAAGGAAATCTCTTTACCTATTTACACCATTCTGTGTTATCGTTTCATCCATTACCTCATAAGTATATGCAATGGATTAAGTGGGGCATAATCACCCTTGCCATCAGTTTTAAATGCCTTTCGTAGGATTGAAAGTCAGATACGCAAACCCAGAAACCCTGTGAACAGCATCTGAAACTGGTGGCGAATGTGGCATCTCTCCTTCAGAGGGATGGCTTTTAATTTTATTTTGATTGATCTGATACTTGCAGATACTCCATATTTTGAAGTCTCTTCGTTGCGGTGTTTTTCGATTGACTTTCGACTTGACGACCCAACTTATTTGATAGTTAAACATATTTTATCTTGGTGTTTCTCTTATTTCTAACCTATTTTGGTGTCTGGTGCAGATTTTCCAGATCTTACAGCTATCAATAATGCAGTATACAAAAAATATCTAAGCTTAATTTTAAGGCTCATTTTCTCCTTATGTAAAACTTGTCTTCAGACACTTATTTTTTTTAATTTTTGGCCGTATTTTCTTTTACTGTATTACCTACCGCATGACTCTAATGTCTTTTATTTTTATTCAAAGCCTCTTAAGAAATTCTCAAATCCCGTATGATTTCAAAAGCCATTAAGCTGATGGCGAAATAATGTAGGTGGGCAAAGGATTGTTTTCATTAAAATATCGACACTAATTTAAATGATAACTAATTAGATTACAGGCCCACTGGGTATTTATCTCTCTTCAAGGACTATTTAAACTAACTTATTTATCTAACTCTAGGTATAGTACAGGACACTATCCAAAGTTTGAATAGACGGATCCAACATTGTTAGTTTTACATATCATAAAGCAATTATCTTACAGCCCCTTAATTTTTCTGAGCATTGCTTTGGAAGTTTGCTTTACTTCACGCTGGTCGTTCTTAAATAAATATTCTCCGAAATTAAAAAAAAAACGAATCACAAGCGTACAGTGAAGTCTGTTTCAGGATTGTCTTACACATATAATTATAAAAGGATGATTAAGTTAGTGCCATGTTACACAACCAGTATTTACTTTGGCATACCTATTCTTGCTCATTTTTTATTCGCCATTTTTATTGGGTGTAGGATGTTACAATCCCATTCAGAAAAATCACTAAGTTCATTCCTAGGACTTTAAGCCAAGTTGTGCTTTTTTATCTCAATCTAAACTACCTTATAAATTACTGATAAATTTACGGTATTTATACCTTTATAGTTCTTTATTTTTAATTAGGCGTCTTAATTTAGACTGCACATACTCGCACGTCCTTTTATTGTTATTTATTCTACACACTTCTTTCGTAATCAGGAGTGAACATCTAACTTTCCTTGAGAAACGCCGTCTGGACCTACTTCAAGAAGCCACATTAGTGCAATCTCAAGCATTGAGACGAATTGATGGTAATTCATCGCTACATATTTCATGTTTTTATAAATATAAAACGGATTTTTTACATGCTATCTCTTGTCATTAAGGCTGGATCCACAACCTTCTTTGATACTTGGTTTTAAATACTTGTATAAAAGTTATGAATTCGATATTTTTTTAAATTTACCCCGAATATGAATAACTTAACTTTTGACTTCTTATCGTACTTGCTAAAGCTCTCCACCTGGCTGTAAAACGCGCAGATTTCGAGCGGAAACAGCGCGCATTCATCGAGCTTAAAGAGGCAGCTCGTCAGAACTTAGAAGCTAAAAAAATAGCCAAAATTAAGGAACGACAGCAAGATAATGCTGTGCTTGATTCAATGAATCGGTCGGAAAAAAAGCGAGGCCTGTTAATCGCGGATATCAGGTAAGCTCTTTGGATTAAGTTAACGTTTCATATTTAAATGACTCATAAATTGATTCATAATTTACACATTTTAATACTCTTATTTTTACTAAAAGATACCAGAATTAATTTCATAAACTCATGTTGTCTTAAAATTTTGGTAGGCATTAAGGTTTACTTGTGCAATCAAAATCATGACTGATATTGCTCAACTTTTAATTAATATCAATGTGATTAGAACCATCATCGGGCTGGCAAATTGAGTTGCCTTCTTTTGTTCAGAGACTCAACACTCATTTAGTCTATTAATCAGGTATATGTAGTGCTTACTCAATTTCGACTCTCTATTCCTCTCATTCAACCTCTCTTGCGTTTTGTAGCAGATGCACCATAATCAACAAACCGATGTGTTTGGGGCTATTGTGTCTCACGTCCAGTGTCCACTTCTGATCATAGATTATTATGAAAACTATATCCACTACCCCGAATTCAAGATTTATAATATTATCTGTCTGGTCAAAATAAGGAACCTTGATTTTATTTTATTGGGCCAATATCTGACAAGCTAATTAACTTAACCAATATGTAATAAGAAGAAATTTTCGGCCTCCATCATCCGATTCCGATTAATACCTGCTGAATTCGCCATCGTTATGTGACAGACATAGCTGGAGAGTGAGTTTATTCTTTAGGCCATCTCACCAAGGTCAGGAAGTTGGCTGGCTCAAATCCGAAACATTTCCTTGTCCTAGTTTTGACCACTTACTGCAGCGTTTCGTAATTACTTAATGATTTAATTAATTGTTCGTAAATAACTGAAGTGATTGTAAATGGCTGAGTTTGTGCTTAAAAGCACTTTTCTATTTTAATTATTTAATTTTCATCTGTAGTTGTGCCTATTTACACTTGTATTATGTTTCTGACAATGCACATGATTGATGTGGGGTGTGAAATCTCCGATCAAATTCGTACCAATTTAAGCTTGATCCCTTTTTTTCTGCTTCTGTCTTCTTTATCATATTCTTTAAGCGAAAGTAATTTCTACCCAATTTCATATACTGGTTATTTCTATTTTCAGACCTTATAGTCCTTAGCTTAATTTTGGGCTTTTTATTTACTTTAAAACGTTTGATTATTTGTTTCATAAGTAGATATTCGAGACTGTCAATAAATCTGATATTAGAGCTGTATTTACAATATTTCATTTAAGGTGCTGATGTAGTCAAATTTTCATAAAATGATATTTAATGAAAAAACAAGGCCTACTTATGTCCAGTTCTTATACAGATCCATTGGCAGTCTCTAAAATTTACTTATTAAATAAGAATAGGTATTTAGTCAATCGATAATACAGCATTTCTTCACCGACAACCCCACCACCGAACTGTGATATGGAAAAGGCGTATGCTTTTTGGAAATTTATATCTGCTCTGTGAAAGTGTGGCCTAGAGGCTAAAGTGTTGAGATTTTACGCTGCACTATCCGGGTTTTAGTTCCGCCAAAGGTGCTGATGTAACCTATGCGAGGTCGAAACTTCAGTCTGCCATTCATGATAATGTTTTTTGGGAGGTACAGCTATGTAGAACTCAATGTAAACTCGAGGCTTATCATATTACTTTGTAAAATTAACCATCAGTCCTTCATCATCTTAAACAAACTGTACTAAATAAAGCCGTTATAGAAGACATTTATAGCTCCTCTAGAGGCTTTTGGGTTCAAAAATCAGGGAAATCAGAGCACACGGCAGAAACTGGGCATGAGGTTGAATGGTTTTAAACTTACATTGAATTTTAACACCTGCCCTGTGACTCTTTGGCACCCTTGGCTGTGTAGTAGAGTGGTCACTTTGTATCTACACTAACCGCCTGGTATCAAACCCCCTCTGGTCTTAGGCGAGGTCACAACTATTGACTATCTTGGATGAGATAGCCTTTTGGGAGGAGGATCTAAATATAATTTAAGGATTTCGTAAAGGCTATTCATTCAATTGTGGGAAAACGGAAATATCAGTCCTTAATGTCTCTTAGGCAGCCTAGAATGCGTATTGGCTTATATGTATCTCTATACGAAATGCATTTTTGTCGTAAAACTAATTCCATTATAAATGCCAAAAGTGATTTCTTGTAAGTCACTTCTGTCATGTGACAAACTGGAGCACATAGTTATTTGGCGAAGTAGTAAATTTGGCGTTTGATGCGCATATTTCGGTCTGAAGTGTTATGATCGGGTTGAGGCACGGTCGAAACTGCAGTCTACTCCTGAATGGAAAGGCTCTTTTGGTCGCCAGCTTAGTTGAAATTAGATGGCATTGTATGGCCTTTATTCATTTTGTTGTTGGGCGCTCAGCTATCAGTACTGATTCTTATTTGAATATTTTAGGATATTCGTAAAACATGTCCATTTTATAAATATTTTAATGTCTCAGCAACATAGATGATCCGTTTGACCCCCAATATTGTCTTCTTAATAACTTTTATTCGATGTATCAAGCATTTTTAATTAAAACATTTTATTTCATTTTCCTACTCTATCTTGCTCAAGATGTGTGACTTTATGATTGCAATATATACAGATTAGAGGGTCTTGATATGATGATATTTTAAATAAATATTTTTTATCTGAGTAACATCAGATCTACAATCATGTCTCATTGAGGTATTCTTCCATTAAAATGCAGCTATCGGTTATAGTTCCAATGTGTACTAAAATTCTGACTGTAGATACTTATATATTTCATATATAAGTAGGGTTTCGAAACTACCAGTAAATCAATAATATAAGATGTATTCACCCTGTTTCGTTTAAAGTGATGAAGGATTGGTAGCAGACTTTTCCCATAATGATATGAGTAGAGGTGACGTTTCCATAAAATTTCACATAGCCTTGCTTTCCAAAAAGTTGTTCTTATCCAGTTTCGACCCCGCATTAGTCTTGTTAACAGCCCCAGCTGGAGTCGAATCGTGACAGTGAGGTTGATACCTTAACCACTCGGCCATATTCCCATAGGTGCCATTGGGTCACAGGGCAAGTGAATTTTAAGGAAGGACAGGTTTTTTTCCAATATCACATTCTTTGGTTGGATTTTCGATGAAGCAAACATATTTTCGCTATAACAATCGAGGCTATAAGTAAATCAATAAATCAGTCTCGAAACTCAACTTAAATACGAAAAATAAGTAACGTAGTCGATTGTTATATCAAAAAAACGTTTGCTTCATCAACAATCCCACCAAAGAATGCGATATGGGAAAAAGACATGGCCTTCCTTGAAATTCATATCTGCCCTGTGACCCAAGGGCACTCGTGGCAATGTGGCCGAGCCAGATCGACTCATATCATTGTGGGAAAATTTATTACCAATCCTTCATCACCTTGAACGAAATAAAGTGAATATATCTCATATTACTTTTATATATTTATCGAGTCTGCTGTTTTTAGCCTTTCAGAAGCAGTGATGTTAATTCTCAAATATTACTTATATATTTTATGGCTCGTGTTGTGGAGCTAGTCCTATTTTTATCACAAAAACCAGTCAAATATCGCTAAGTATGATATTTGTGCAAATATATTTAGATTTAATAGACAGCTAAAAATATCCTTTTGTGTCTTCGATGTTAAATGACCCTTTTCTAAAGAATCTTCGTTATTTTTTATCTTTTTTTACCTTCTTATAATTGCTTAATTTGTTTCCCCCCTCTAGGGATGAATTAATTCAAAAATATGCCGAGATGACAGACGAAGTTGATAGTCGAATACGAACTTCTGAGTTTCGGGTCGGCCTCGACTTCGCCTCTTCTCACGAGCTGGGCTCAAAAGAAGGCATCTCTCCATCGGAGATATCTCAACTTTCTACTCCAATTACTTCCCCGGATAGCTTATTAGTCTCTCATTCTGAACAAG